TAGAGAAAACTCGGCTACATGACAAAATGTTTACCAATAGAGACTGGATAACTTGCAGTGACATGGAGAAGGTTTATTGAAGAGGTATTCAATTCCAGATATCGAAATGTGGGGATATATCATGAAACTCTTTCCATTGTGGATGACTTGGATTTATTCAATGCCTGCCCATTGAGGATAGTATGCTTTAAACATCTTGTCAAATCACTACTCCGTAGGTGGAGGAGAAATGCGGTCTTGACAAAGATCAACGATTGTGACATGATGTCTTACATATTGTACGGATTCCGGCTTGCTATTAAGGTATAAATGTGTCTATTTATTTCATTTCTATTCATTGCACATTTTTATGTATTTTCATATATGGTAACCACTGTTATAAATGTCTTGTAGTTGTGGGTGTACAAGGCAATCTCGGAGTTGGGAGCTTGATTCTTGAGAAAGATTGGTGATGACCTTTCGAGAATGTTGCAGTGGTCTGGCATAAGACAACCTCAGTCAAGAACATATTCAGATTTTTTTTTACAAGACACGTAAACAATTTACACACATAATTGTACTTATACTTTCGGCATATATAATCATTGATTTTGATTACTTTTCCTCCCTTTGCAAGTGTACTTGTGGGTGACATTGCGCGCTACTACCGAAGAAGAATTGCAGTCATACTTTGCTGATTTAGTTCCATTGGAAGATGCAGCAGACCTCGTTTTGGACAGTCTCATTGTTCAATCAACTGAAATACAAGATTGCCCACCAGAAAGTGAAATGATACGAAATGATGAGAATAAAAATCGTGGCAAAAAATCCAGCAGAGGTAAAACGAGTGGACTTCATCTGAAGGATTTTAGTGATGTTGAAGGTGGATAAGAAGGGAATTGCAAATACAGTCCACGACTTGCCATCATCTTCTAGCTTGGAAATCGTCCACCAATAAGGCATATTTCTTTGGATGAGATAAGAGCTCTATTGACTGAACAGAGAAAGGCGATTGAGATCAGGCTAGGCAAACTGAGAGAAAATGAACTTGAGATTCACTGGTATCGAAAAGGAAATGGGGGATCATGTGGCTATATGAAGGATCATGTGACCAATCAGACAAGTATGATGAAATATAGGTTTGAGGATATAGCTACAAAAATTGGGGGACACAAGGTGAGTGATGAGTACGGTGGATTTGGTTGTGATTTGGGAGATGGAGATATGCATATACGTGATGATTATGATGAATTTCCTTATCCAACACAGCGACTGACGAACAGCATGTCGAGGCATCAAAAATAGATGTTTGCAACGTCAATTACTTGTCGAGAAAGCCCTCAAATGTGGTTGCCACCATCGCAGATCCTTCTAAGGTCAATGATCCAACTCCATCTCGACCTCGATCCCTCGGGGTCAAAGTGCCCAGTGCTAACATACAGACTCCTTTCACACTGTCTGGTCGTAGAAATGGTAAGAGGGATGCGTAGTTAGTTTACAATGTTGGTGTAGCATAACATTGTGTTTAGAAAAAACATTTGCAACGACGTTTTGTGTACCATAATTAGGCAAATTTTTTTATTGATGGTATAGTTCTCAATGTAGAATTGAAATGGAGATAAAAATATTTTGTTTCAATATTTGCATGTTGTTCAAGTCTTGTATTGTGTACACATTTACGAACTATCGTTCCTGACAATTGAAATGTCAATTGTTGAGAGATACATGTATTTAATGTCTAGAACAATATTTAAAATGTCGAGAAATGTTAGAAATGTATAGAACTGACGGAAACGGAATGAAACCTCGTTCTAGATACATGAACTGTCAGTTGTTGAGATAAACAAGGTCCAAATGTCAATAATAATTTTTAAAATGACGAGAACATTATGAAATGTCAATGACTAAGTCGAACTAATTGACAGAGCGATAAGATGACAATTAGATTTAAAAAAATACTTACAACAAACCGATTAGACGTTAAAGTTCCTCAATAAGATTTCAATCAAATGTGTGTTATAAATCCATCATCATTAACAAAAAAACCCTCATTATGAGTACAGTATGGTATTATGTTGACTTTAATCAAAGCATGTTGGTAATAAACACAAATTCACTATTCACATGACAAGCACAAGGTCTGAAACCTATGATGTCAAACAAACGTCAATCAATTGTAATTACACAGAGTAGAAGTTGATTTGTAGTCTTGTAATTTATTTACAACATCATTTACTCTTCTATATAAGCATATATATAACTTCAAAAACAATGTTCAAACACGATTCCTCACAAGAAATTCCTAGCAATAAGAACTTATTCCTTCAAGTATGTCTTCTTCAAGCAAAGAAACTCCTTATATTAATGTTGCTAAGCACCTCTCCCGCCCGGGTCTTCGGCGGGCAATTCGATCATCATCAACTCAAACGACAATGAACAAATGAACGTCGTTGTTCCCTACATTCCGTAACTTAGGAACTGTCGTCATCAAATGAGTGTTTATCCAATTCCATTTCCTGATTTTGGAAATTAAGGTGAGCCTAGCGAACCTGGAGTTGGTGATCGTGTTGTCAATCGTGAGATCATCTCGATCGAAAGCTCACCGAACGAACACCATCTTTTGTTTGGCATTCAATATGTGAATGAGTTGGTTGACAATGTGGGATCGAATTCGGTTGTCATGGGAGATGTCATCATCATAAGCTCCGACGACGATGATTTTATTGAGATATCTTCTCTGTCTATTGTTGAGGACGTGTAGATGTCTTCGTACATCATCATTTTTGTGACCACTTCAAATAGGAAACTCATTGTCATTGTCATTGTCATAGTTTATGTTGACCATTCAAGACCCTTCTCTTTACCCTTTCGGGCTTTGTTGTAGCTAATTTGTACGCTGAACTCATGTTCAATATCCTCGATAATACCCATGGGAACGTACAGCTGGTTTGCATCATCCAATCGCTACATTATGTGTTACCCAATTAGGGCACTGGTTGCATGCATGTGTGTATTCTTTCGAACATCTAAAGAACATATGTGCTCAAGTATGTACCTCCGAATTTTAAATATATTCGAATTTTTTATCTTAGAAGCTCATAATAGCCAATGACAGTTGGTATCTATGCAACATATGGTGAGAGACCCAATATTCGACTTTTTAACTTTGAAATGAAACTTTTCGGTCGAAGCCTTTTGTATAGTTGTTTATTGCTGAAGAATATTGATTTTCTTCAGTTTTTCATTCAACTTCCGATTTCTTTTCATTTCCAATATGTGGATTTCCTTCAACTAAGCCGACATTCGTATCTAAAATCATTCGTGGCTCTTCTAGTTTGAACACACCGACTTCTTCATGTCTATACAATGCTTCTTCTATTGGTGAGAAAGGATCAACTCCGACATCTACATCTTGTTTTCGACATCATATTGATCTGCAATTACATATAGGGCTACTTGCATGTAAACAGAAATGTACCATTGCAAATTCTCGTCATCAGATACATCAGTGAGGGGTACATTCATGTTCGGAACTTTAAATTTTAGGTGGATTCGAAATTTCATTCTATCAAAATGAAACTTTTCGAATAATTTATTGACAAGCTTAATATGTGAATTAGAAAAGTCTCCAATAAGTGCTTCAATTGGACACAACTCTTCAATGAGTAATTAAAGAAAAGAAGTTGATAATAATACAAATTCTTTCATAATTAGTTTTTAAAGTTTACGAAACACTTAATATAATTATAATTGTTCAATAATTTAAAAAGGCAGAGTGCTAATAGTTTAAATCGGTATTACTAATAATTTTAAGAGTCAAATTGATTCATTCTCAATCTCAATCTCAATCTCAATATCAATCTCAACTCCCTCATATTGAGTTGACGCAACATTTATGGATGTAAATTTATCAAATTTTGCTAGATTTGATGTCTGACATTTGGAATTAAGAAACAAAGGCCAACAGAAAAAGGAAAGTGCTATACATACAGAGTAAAGCACCGTCAAACTATTTACAGATATGCAGTTTTTCATTCGACAAAGGGAAAAAAACAAAATAAGAAGAAATGTAACCAACCATAGAGTACCTATAAAACATCTTGTAGGATTTCTTCTGTACAAGCAACAAAATTGACAAAAAAAAAAAANTTAATTCTACAACAATTCAATTATTTAAATAATATCTTACTTTTCGTTTTTCATTATATAATAAATATTATAAAATCTTTGTTATGTATGAATTTCTTGTTATTAATTCTCAATTAATTAACATTCACATTACTCCAGATTCAATGAATCTCAACTTGATGAATTTTGATCTACGTGAATCTAGATAAATAAATTTATTTCTATTAATATATCTAGGAATTTTAATAAGTGTTTAAATTTATGTATTAACAATTAATTTTTATGTATCAAATGTAGTATAAAAATGGTTATTCATTTGTAATATTTCATCATCACAAAAAATTTGAATTATAGAAGTTGAGCTTTGAGACTACAATTATCTTCCCTTAAATTCCTGTCAAAAATTTTATTTATTTTTTAGTTTGTTTGAAACCCATCAAATCTTATAGAAGTTGAGCTTTGAGATTACAATTATCTTCCCTTAAATTCCTATAAAAAATTTTATTTTTTTTAGTTTGTTTGAAACCCATCAAATCTTTCCGACAAATTAATATCAAATATTACTTTTACAACACTAATAAAATATTTTGGGAACGATGACTTCAACTCTAACAAGTTAATTATAATTGTTCGACAATTTTAAAAAGGCAAAGTATTGATAGTTTATTTGCTACACAAAATGGAAAAACACTCTTTTTATGATTTATTATTAATTTAAAACAATATTTAGCTTTCATTCACAACTTTTCTTTGTACAGATGAACCGTGGCCTCGACCTGAAACGACACACCATAGCCAAATTCTTGACTTTTCCCCTCCGTTTTTCTTTTCACGAATCCATTCGTTTTTTGTTCTCCTCCCTTCGACATTTACTTTCAGAATCCCTACGTTTCATGGACTCTCTACTCTTTCCCTCTCCATCCGAAGATGACGACGACGTTTTTACCCTCTTCGATAACCCCTTCTCCCCCCTCCAGCAACCATCTTTGTCCAACTCCACTGACCCCCTCTTCTTGGTCCCTTTCAGGTAAACTTTTTGACCTTTCTACCCGGAAAATTAATTTGGGGATACTTGTTGATTTGTTTTTTTTTTATGTTTGGGTAGGTGGTGGAAGGAGGCTAGAGAGACTGTGTGCAGTGGTCGTGGCGGCGTTTTGTATAATGGGACGGCACGATTGACTGGTGCTGGTGAGGATGAGGAGAAAGAGGAGGTTATGGCGGTGGGCCGTAGGGATTCGGAGATTCTGGTGAGTATGAAGAGAGAGGGGGAAGCGAAGATTAGTCAAGAAGAAAGGGTTTCAAGCGAGGGTGATTTTGCATTGGTGTCGGAGTGGATGTTTTTGACAGCTCTTAGATGGTGAGCGCCAGTTATCATTCAAATTAGTTCATTTTTTCGAATCATTTTCTGCGTGTGCTTGTGTAGTTATGTAGTGATTGGTTATTAATTGTGCATGTATCTTGTGTTAGTTTAACAGTTTTTGAAAAAATATTATTGATCAGTTGATGAAGTTATAATCTGTATATCTAACCAGCACCTGTAGTTATAGTTAGTTTTTTTCGGTTGCAATCGAACTTCTCTTATATGCAATTGATGGAAGAGTTGAAATGACCCAAGCTTGGTTCTAGTGTTAAATTTTAAGCCTGAAATTGTCTTCTGTTGAGTTGATCTGTTAAGCTCTTGATGATTAAGTGCTCGTCAGTTGTCAAGTTGTTCATGGCTCTAAGAACAATAACCGATTTTGAGCAATTCTTACACGTGCCTGAACAACCAAAACCCCACTTCACAATTTGGGTAGGATTATTTACAATCCTATAATCCTATTGCTATAGACGTTAGGAACTGAAAAAAATCGGATTCAACTATTTGAATGAATACTATGATGAAGCTCCTTTTTAGCATGAGTCTGTATTGAAATTTTGTTGTTGAATGTAAGATAAGCAAGAAATTATTAGGAAGGATATGTTTGTTTTATTTACTGATTCTGCTTTACTAAGATACTTTGGCTAAACTTGTGAATTTTGTTTTATAAATAAAATCATTGGTTGGCGCTGAATCTGAGGGAAATGAAGTTCAAACTGAAAGTATTACTTTCACAGCTATGATTTTCTTCAAAATTGACTCTATTCCTGTAGGTATTATTGCCTATGCAGACATGCTTCACCTGCCATTTTTTAACTTGAATCCTGTATGTAGTATTGCCTACACAGACTTGCTTCTCCTGCCACATTTTAACTCCATTACATAAATCACTGAAATATGAAGATTGCTGGCCATATTCCATTCCGCCTTTGGTTATGTTCCCTATAAAGTCAGTGCCATTTCCTGAGTCAGTCATTAGACAACTGAACATGGTTCCTGTGCAGTTGTGGATGCTGCATTTAAGGAGCCCATGACCTGATATTTGATTTACTTTGCTCTTCCTTGTAGGCATAATGACTTGACGGGTGTGGAAAGTTTTTTACCTGAAGAAGATAGCATGCACGACCTGTTCTCTTTACAGATCAGACTTTTGTGTGTGTTGGAAACAAATTCATTGGTTATAAAGATTAACCAAAAGGTTCATTACGAATTGATGCCCTTTTTCATTAACTATTCTAAATATTAGCAATGGTGTGGATCTTGTTGATTCATTGATTATGGATTGGTGTTACCAAGAGTTGGTAAAAGTAACTCTTTTTTAAAGCAACCGATCCTCGAATTAAATTTGGTAAGGTAATGATTTTTGAAATTTTGAATTTCAAACTACAATATTTACAAAATTCAGAAAACAGATTTCTAGTAAGATAGCCCAATAGGGAAGAGAAGTTACTAAATTTTTAATAACAATACAATTAGATATCCAGTGATTTCCATTCTGTTAATAGAAGTTGATATGGCTTGAATAGTAGAATATGTATATTTGTCCTTGGTTGTAGCTGGGGACCTGGGGTAAAAGGTGAAAAGTTGGTAGGGGTGTGTGCCCTGAACTCTCTTAAATATAAAAAAGATAGACTAAATTAGTGATAGTTGCTGACTTGCTGTTATGTATGTAACTCACACAGAAGGCACGTGGTATTTGTACATGTGACATATCTAGTGAACTAACCTCCTTTACTGGAAAAAAAATTGTTTGCTTATATTGTTTATGTACTTGTTAAATGTCACATCTGCAAATTCTTCCTTGCATTGGAGGGGCTTCTGTAATAGTTTGATTGCATCTCAGTCATCAGGAAAGGATACAACGGCTCCCTTTTGGTCACTGAAAAGGCAAATACAGATTCAGGCTCCAAAAGTCGGTAGTGTAAAAAGAAACAAGAAAAAAAAAGTTCATTTAGCCTAGTCTTTAGTTTTACGTTTATTTTGTTGATTGAGCACAGCTGGAAAATGTGTCTATTATACAAACAAACTCATAAAACCTCTATGCTAAAAAAAGGTTGGAGGATTGACCGGTTATGATGGTTGGAAAAAAGATGGTTTTACATTTTTATTAAGCGGAATGCCACTTTTTCATATAACGTCCAGATAATAAGCTACTTGATAGAGTGATATGATGCACCGATATGTACATGTATGTCTGACGTGCAATTTTTTAAAAAAGTACCTAAACAACATGTTGATTAAATATCTTAAAACATTATTCATTTATATAGTATAACTTCAATTTAATAATTATTATTATTATTTTTTGTTGAAATAAGAGTACTTATTTCATATTTTATACTGATGAGTTGAAATTAAATACTACTTTTTCTATGTCCCATAAAGATAGGTTTGCTTTCTATTTTCATTTGTCTCAAATTATAGGTCGTTTTCCTATTGAGAGTATAGTTAATTTTTAAATTTTCTAATATGTTCCTACTTAATGTGCTTTGTCATTAACAAATATGAACTAGGGGTATATGAAATAAAATTTATAGTTCCAATTATATTAACTAATTTTTGTACTCTGTGTGAAATGGAAGCAAGACTATCTTGTGGGTCGGAGGGAGTACTGTAATTTTAAAAATGACTATCGTAGAGTGTTCGAGGAGTATCGATAATTCGGTATCCAACATGATATGATACGTGTCGTACACTACACGTCATCCTAGATAAAGTGTCTATAAGGTTAAATAGTTGGTTTGAGATGATTGTTGGCTTTTTAGAGTTTATTTTATGAGTATCTGACAATCTCTGTATGTGTTTCGAAGGACAATCAATTTGGAGCTTTCAACGCAGCCTACAATATATTTTGTAATGAGACTCGCTTGGTGAGCTAGTAATTCATTACTAAATGTTTTATCATGGATGCTTTTCCTTGAAGGTTGGTCACTCTTAATTTTTGACAGTTGCGAATCTGGGACTTCTCAGAGCAGACAAACCAGTTATTCACAAACAAAAGGAAGTTATTTAGAGATTCAGGCCCATCAGATGAAGAGGTAATTAAGCCCCTGTTTGGTACAAATTAAAATCTGATTTTAATCTCAAGTCAAAGTCAACAATTAATTTTAATCACACAAATTTTATGGGATCCACAATTTTTCAACCACACATTTTATCAACTTTTATTAAAATTTATTAAAAATCTGACTTTAATCTACAACAAACAAGGGGTAAATATGTTTCTGATTGTTGAATATTTATGTTTGTATGATCAAAGATTGTTCAGAATATGTGAGGAAGTTTGGAGACCCGTGAAAAATATAAAGCTTGCCAAATCTATCTGATTTGGTTAAAATAAATGTCTCGTTTGAGTCAAAGTCAAAGTAGGATTTGTAACCAAAAATTATACAGAAGGAAAAAAAGAATTGGTTTTACAAGTTACAACTATGAATTATGTGTCTAGAGCTGTTGATTGCAATAGAGCAGAAATGGTGTCTGGTAAGTAGCTATCTGCTTGAAAAAAATAATGCTTGCTAAGTACAAGCTGTTTTCCTTTTTCTTAGTGACTACATTTGGCTCATTTCTTCTCTCTTAGTGATTTCATGCGCGAGTACACCTCAGCATTTTTCTTCCTTAGTAATTGACCTGTGATTTTCCTGTATGTGATGTTGTATTATAATCGGACCTTGGGACTTATGTGCTGTTAGCATAAATCATTCATGGTTATGACCTAGGAAATCTGACACTTGATGCATTTTTTGTTTTAGAAAATAAATTATTATTGATGAACTGGTTTTAGTCTTGCTAACACCTCTGCAATCGCACACTCTTCTAATTTAGGTTTGAATACTTTTACGATATGTCTGCAATCAATGTTCTCATTTTGATTTAAGTAATAACTTTTGGGACATGATGCCCTTTCAATTTTTATGCTTTGGCTTTGAATATATTTTGCCTCATGTTGTTTGGATTATCTAATTGCCCTTTATGTACTTATTTTGGCATTTTTATATGCAGATTAGTTTGGAGTTGCAAGTCTATGGCTTCTCTTATTCTATCATCAAGAATAGAGAAACGGGAAAAGAGGATATGATGGCAGAACAGTCGATGATTGATGTGGCCTCTTTTAGCGATTCACTTAAGATGAATGGGAGTGTGCATAAAGTGAATTTGTATTCTAGAAAGAAGCAATCTTCACCACTAGGTAGAGGCTATGGCAGCATTCCGCCTTTGGGTTTGACTGGATTGTATAATCTTGGAAACACTTGTTTTATGAACAGTGCTATTCAATGCTTAGTGCATACTCCCAAGCTTGTTGATTATTTCCTTGGAGACTACAGAAAAGATCTGAACTTTGAAAATTCACTGGGCATGCATGTATGTTTATCACCATCCTTTCTTTTACTTTCTTACACTTGTTTCTGTTGACATTCAGACAATGGAGAGTATTTAACTACCTAGCATCTCTCCGCCCTCCACTGCCTCCCCATCCAAAATAAATGAAAGGCAAGATCTCTCTCCTTCTAACAAACTAACATTTTGGCCAGGGCAAGCTTGCTATAGCGTTTGGAGACTTATTAAGAATGTTATGGGCTCCAAGAACTACACCAGTGTCTCCAAGGATGTTCAAGTCGACTCTTGCTAGTTTTGCTCCTCAATTTAGCGGTTATAACCAACATGATTCCCAAGTAAGTACAGAATTTATGTCTTTTTGAGCGTTTGCAGCATGAAAATATTTTGCATGTAATCAGAATATGAAATTTTTTAATGTAGGAATTTCTTGCTTTCTTGTTGGATGGACTCCATGAAGATCTAAACCGTGTGAAGCACAAACCTTATGCAGAACCGAAGGATGAAGATGATCGTCCAGATGTAGTAGTAGCAGATGAATACTGGAGAAACCATATATCTCGCAATGATTCTGTCATAGTTGATTTATGTCAAGTATTCTTTCTTATGTGAACCTTGTGTTATGATATGACGCTAGACCATCGACTGACTTATTTACCGCATGGGGTTGGTTTATTAATTGTCTCTCTAACTTGCATCTTTTCAAATGTAGGGTCAATATCGATCATCATTGGCTTGTCCTGCTTGCAAGAAACTGTCCATAACATTTGATCCGTTTATGTACTTGTCATTGCCTCTCCCTTCCACAACTTTGAGGAAGATGACTTTGACAGTTGTGAGCACCGATGGTCATACATTACCATATCCTGTCACAGTAAGTGTCCCAAATAATGGGTCACTTGAGGATCTTGTTCAGGCCCTGGGTACAGCTTGTTCATTGAGAGAGGATGAAATGCTATTAATTGCTGAGGTATGTATCTTAGCGAACTCATTTCAGGAATCAAGATGTTTAATTGGGACATTGACTATTCCTTCTTATACTTTGTGCTAGATGATTTTCCTAAAGATGTTCTTTTAAGTAGCATATTGAACATGTGAGCTATTTGGTATACCATTTGTTTACTAATCAAACATGCCCATTATATTTGTTTTATCCTACAGTACAAACTATGTGCACACTGAATAATATTTGATCCTTTTGAACTCTTGATCTACTTGCATTCAGTTCAAACAAATTCATGCATATAGAAACATCTAAATGTGCATGCTTGAGCTTAAAGACATTATTACTTCATCCCTGAACTGAAGAGGTTGTTTGCAGATATATAATCATTCCATCCTTCACATACTGGGTGATCCACATGATTCGGTGGACTTAATCAGAGATAATGATCGACTTGTTGCTTATAGATTGGCTAAGGCTACTGATGGAACTCCTTTGGTAGAATTTTTGCATCAACGCAAGGAGAAGTAAGTACGATTGATTCTTGTGATACTTAAAATTTTAAGTGCAAACAATATGTTAAACATCTTTTATAGTCATTGTCACAGTATTTTACTATTTTTATGTATACTGTGTAGTTTCCTCTTTACTATGAGGTTTCATGGATGTGTTCTGTACCAGAATTATAACCTGAACACTATCTTGAATGACGGGAGGACATTAACTAATGTAATATGATTGTCTATTTAACAGTGTTCAACACATCGTTGCCTAATATAATTAGTGATTGTAGCTTGAGATAACAACAACAGATTTGAGAAATGTCTGAGAATTAGTTGATGTTGATCTAGTGCTAATAAACAGGGAAGATAGGTTTTCGTTGGTTTGACAGTGAACTTGAAGACCGTTTGTATCATATCTTCTTGATAAAATTAATTTACATTTCACTTGAAGGTTGTCTAAGTTCTTGTTACTTTATATCCTGTTCTAATTATTATATGTTTGGTCAGGTTATACATTCATGCATTTCCTTCTTTCGAGAAGTTTGGCATTCCTCTTGTGGCTAGAATGACTGATTTTTCTAAAGGATCCGAGATATATAAACAGTTCCTTAAGTTAATTGATCCCTTCTTAATGCAAGCTGATGACTCCTCGATTGACTCTGATACTACACAAAACATTTCCTGCGAGGATGAGGAAATGGAGGATGTAGTTTTGGATAGGGATGCAAAGTTGGATAATGAGTCAGCGAACGACTTGGATTCAATTAGCGATTTCGAGTTCTATTTGGATAGTGGGAACTTTTTAGCAAGTCGCATAAAAATACAAATGGATGAGCCGGTGCCAATATCAAAGTCTAACAGGCACATAAAAGTGCTCGTAACTTGGCCAGAGAAAATGATTGAAGACTATGATACTTCTATTCTTAGCTTTTTACGAGATGTTTGTGAGCCTACATTGAAGAAACCTCAAGAGTCTGTGTCTCTGTATAAATGTGTTGATGCCTTTTTGAATGAGGAGCCTCTTGGACCGGAGGACATGTGGTGAGTACCCATGATTTTGCTATTGGATATGACTAAAGCAATACTTCTATTGTGTTTGATTTTTCCACCCTATTGTAGCAATGCGAATTGGTATATTGTTTGCTTTGTGAATGATAGGACTTATTATCCATTCAAGGTTCTTCTTTTGTCATGAATACAATCATTTGTCCAGATTGTTGCATACATTTATGTTGCATAATATTGTTTTAGGTATTGTCCTCGCTGTGAGGATCACAGGCAAGCAAGTAAAAAGCTGGATCTTTGGAGACTGCCGGAGATCCTGGTCATTCATTTAAAGAGGTTTTCATACAACCAATATTTCAAAAACAAGCTGGAAACTTTTGTTGACTTCCCTATTGATGATTTTGATCTTTCGAGTTACATGTTTGACAAGAACAAGTTTTGTCATCATTATGCGTTGTATGCTGTTATTAACCACTATGGTGGCATGGGTGGTGGCCATTATACTGCATTCGTCCAGGTTAGTGGTAATTCTTGTTAAAGCAACTACACGTTACTGGCTTAATTGAATCATTGTTTTGGACCAAATGTCTTTCAGAATTATGTTTTCTTGTTACATGCCGATTTAAAAAATAATAAAAATAAATGAAAGCAATCAGATGCAAGCATATTATGCTTATTGAGGGTATAATTATAGATTAGTGTTATATTGTCTAAAAGTTAATGACACTAGTTTGAGGTGTTGGGGCTGTTAGCAGTTGTTGGTGAGAAAGTATATATGACATCCAGTAATGATTATTTAAGTGGTGAGGTAGTCCAATATACTTAGCTTTTTTTGGACCTTTGTGTTCAAGGTCAGTTATGTATTCTTCTGGTTATGATTTGTGAGGCTGAGGGGTTTATTAAATGGTTTTTGCAGTTAGCAATATAGTTCTCCATACCCTTGGCAAGTTGATATCCCAGTTGAAAACTTTAAGAATAAATTAAATAAATGGCTGAAGGGAGTTGGAAGTAGAGCTTATTTTCACCATTGCACTGTCTTCTGCTCTAAATTTTATTTTCTCCTGATCTTTTTATCCTTGCATATTTTTCTTGTATATTTTTTACAGTTGCTGCCATGCACAGTATCCACGACGTATATATTTATTTTAGGTCTGACAAGGGTGCAGCAATTTAAGAAAATAGTGTTCAACTCCTATATAGTTTGTATATAAACTTCATGTTTTATATTTGCACCAATGAAGATAATAATTATATAAACAAAAAAGTTTAGCCTGGCAATGGTTGCCCAGTTGCTCAGGTACGTGCTGCTAAAAAGTATGGTTACTGTGGATAGAGTACAATGTTTCTGCAGTCTGAATATCACTGATCGAGTAATGAAATCATCTCTTGGTTTGGCAGATTTAACTTGGCTTTTCTTACTAGTGTGCCAGTGCCCACTTTGCTTCTCGCTGAGTGGGATGCTTTGCTAATTCAACTCATATATTAATATAAACATTTTTTAAATTTTTTTTAATTAGAAAGAAGTATTCGTTTCAATATTGGATGATTCTGTGTTAATGGGATCTGAAGACGAAGACTGAACATGGAGTGTAATTTCTTGTGGAGCAATCGAGAGATTAATTTTGATATCTCGTATATATCTAATTGCTCACAATCACTGAAGAAAAGTGGGAAAGGTAGCACAATATGTATAGACACTATTGAAAATTGCTGATTGTGTAGATCTGGAAGGATTTCTTTGGCTGAAATTACATGGTTTTATTTCTCACCAGGGTTAACCTATGAATACAGTAGAATAGCTGAAAAATGTTGCCCAAAAAAGAAGAAATCTAGCATCTGGAAGATCTTGTGTTTGGTTGTCGCTTGATCTTTGTATTTTTGTGTGTATACTACAATCTCACTTAAAAGTGATTTAGCAAATACTCCATATTAAATGAGCAATAACTTGTATTCTTGTTACAACTGATGAATATTATTGTGAAGAAAGGAAAAGAAGGTTTTATATGGATTGATATTTGTTCCTTTTTACTGTTGCAGCTTGGGAATAATAGGTGGTATGAGTTCGACGACAACAATGTGTTTCCTGTTGACTGGGAAAAGATAAAGACACCAGCTGCTTATGTTCTTTTTTACAGGAGAATCTCATTAAATGACGTTGAATAGAACAGCAAATGGAAAGCTGGAGGTGTTAAATTTACTTTCTTTCGAGGCTTCCTTTCTGGGACTTGGTCCATCACTGGGGAGAATAAATTTTTGAAAGTAAAAAGGATAACGGCTTTTCATGTTACCAAAGTCTCGTAGTACAAGAGCAAATCAGCTTGAGAAACGGGTTTTAGTGTTTCCATGATATCATTCTACTTGGCTCAAGGTAACCCGGTGTTACAAAACATTATGAATGTGTATAGACATACTTTACAAAATTGTGTACAGAATTCTGAGATAGATATACAGGTGGAATGAGATGCTTTTTAGATGAAGTGGTTAAAGATGGAGTAAGATATAAGGTTTTGTTATTCAACATGTCTGATTACTGATGTTATTTGTTGTTGATATAACTGGCCATTCTTTTTACTCTTTTCCTCGAGAAAATTGAATTCTTTTGGTATAATTGTGCAGCTCTTTGATGCATCAATTCCATTGAAGCGTGGAAATTTGATTATTTCGTTTCGATTTCGTTGAGGATTACATCCTAAAGGATGAAGCCATATTTATGTAGTGTTTTTGAGAGAGTGAATTATATTTGATTTTCTTTAGCAATTTTTACATTTCACTAAAATATGTCTTGCTAATTATTCAGACTAGGTAGACCAATTAGAAATTACGTGGAGATGAAATTTACCCTTGTAAAGAATGGAGTCGTTGCATTCGAAAAGTGTGAGAACGCTCACATTACATAATTATTAGGAAATTTCTGTACTTGTGTCAAAAAGACTTGTATGGTTGGCATAGTCTGATAGTCTACTAGAAATTCAATAAATCTTTCTGTGAAATCAGGTCAATCTTCATCCACGATAACGGAACATGATGATGTGACATTTCATCATCCTTCACATTTTTATCTCTCCTCCCTTCTCTCTCATAAAAATTCACATTATTTTGCATAAACGGTCATATCACCGATACTTTATATAAATAGTATTATTTATGAGAGTAACCTCTCCATGTCTAATGGCTAAGGTCTAATTTCAACAGTTTGAATATAGATTTCTTGAAAAATGAAATTTTTGGAGAGAGTGAGATTGAAAAGTAATGAGAAATTATAGATTCACGTAAAAAAAAAATATTTTGTTAAAAGAATTTATGGTTGAAAATAAATTTTAAAAAATCTTTACGAAGCATTGAATCATATTTGGTTGTGTGAACACGTTTTCTTGCATAAGAAAATTTAGTTTTTAACTCAATTGCAATTTGCAAGCATAGGATCCTCCATGGAGGATAAGACGAGTGCATAGCACGTGCTTGTGATTATATATGTCTAATAAATGAATTAATTAATAATTAATTTTAACTACGTATTTTAAGAGATTCATAATATTTTAATCACATATTTTAATTTTTATAAAAATTTACTAAAAATCTGATATTAATAGTAAGAAGCCCAGCGGCACACTAGACATGTGGAGCCCACAAAGCAGACAAGCAACCTGAGCCTACTGCCATCCTGGCAGTAAAACCCACACTTCGGTGAAAGCCAGCCTAGAATACAACGCGTCACCCATAAAATCCTACACTCGAGAGTCTTCAGACGGGGAAGATGATTTGGCTTGAAGGTAGCGGTCCAGATTTCTCCTTTCTGTAAATCGTAGCCGTCGATCACCTCCTGTACCAGCACGTTCTGACAACTTACGATAACGGTTGGTGATTACACGTCTAAAGTTGGACCAATCATGTTGCTCCGTCATGCCACGTCCTCTTACGCATGACAGCCCCCAACCGTTAACCACGTTCTGGTACAGTTATACTCCCTCTTTGGTTTGTTGAAACCAATCATTCGTTTTTTGTTTTCACCAATTTGCCCTTGCTAAATTCATCATCATGCAACCCAACCTATGTTAAAATTACCAATATAGGGCATGGACTATGGGATAATTATTTTTTTTCCCAAATGGGTAGTGAATATTTACTTAAAAAATAGTAATGGCTTGTTTGATTGAAAAAATTTCCATGAAAAATCGCCTTTTTCACCCAAATTCCAATTTTTTGAGTGTGTGATTGTCATTTTTTCATGGAAAATATTTTTCAACATTTGAAATATACTTAAGGTCCGTTTGATTGCAAGAGTGAAATTTGAGTGGAAAGAAAATGAATTATAAGGAATTGAATTGTCTAGAATTGTTTTCATAAGAATTGTTAATTAATTGTGTTTGGTTGGTATAATTTTTCACTTGAAAAATGTTGAAATTTTGGATCTCTTGGTGTTCGTTTTGACTTTGTTTTCCATGAAAATTATCCATTAAAGGGAATTTTTTTTTTACAATTGTCTATAAAATTGTTTACATTGCAAAAAAAATTTATAAAAAAAGAAGGGGCTGGGAAATCATTTTCCCACCAAAGTGGTGGGAAAACCAATTCCTCAAAAACAAGGAAAACCCAATCAAGTGAGGCTTGAACGGAAACCAAATTCCATGAAATATTTTACTTATGAAACATGGCAAAAAGTAGAAAGTAGGAAAATATATTCCAACTTCCATGGAAAATGGCACAGATCAAACATGGCCTTAATTTTCTTTGTTTTTGAGTAAAATATTTTTCTTGGAGGAGGTAGGTTTTTAGGAAACATTTTTCATATCAATCAAATACACTCTAACTATATTTTATTGAAATTTAAAAATTAATTGAAATAATGCAAGACAAAAAAAAAAAAAAGGGTTTATTGAGCGAATGAATTGATGAGTGAAAGATAAGTGGACTATGACTTGGAAACATTTTGTGGTCCAAAAGTGTCATTTGTTCTATTGGTTTTAATGAAATATGAAAAAGAATCCATCGCAAATGACAATTCAACCTTTTCTTTTCCTATTTTCTGTTGTTAAACACAAAAGGTCCTTTGTCCTTTCTCATTTACTGTCGCAAAAAAATGTGGCTCACGTTAAACTAATAAAAATGATATACATTATAATATTTAGAGCATGTTTCAGCCTCATTTTTTTATTTTTTTTGTCCAAAATACATTATGAAATAGTATTTGGATGAATAATGTGCGGTTAAAAAATAAAAATAAAAAATTTGAATTTACGTATAATATTATTTTATTTAAGAGTGTGTGTTTGAAAATAAATGAGAGAAAAATATAATTTGAAAATAATGAGGTCGTTCAATGAGTTGGAATTAGAACTATGAGGAAGTAGGTAAAACCACTTTAGAACTTTTTAAATTATGTCGGATTAAATTACTAAATAAATGAACAAAGAATGTTTACGCAAAAGACATGCTTAAAGAGGTATGTCTTATATAACTTGCCTCACGATCAAATCAGATTTACCTTTGCACTTCCATTAGTAGGTTTGGATGTCAAGTAGATCGATACAATTAATTATAATGCTTACTACTTAGGCCATGTAAATTTGCTACTTTCTAGGACTTGCAAAACTTTTTATTTGTTGGGCCCGTCATTAAATGAGGGTGAATAAATTGTAAGAAATAAGAAATTTGTAAAAATTGACAAATTTGATTTCAAAATCGAGTATCCACGATTTTGATTCATAAACCAAGAATCTACCTCGAACACGATCAGTTCTCGATTTCGATTTCGATTCCAATTGCTATTTTTTTATTTTTGGAACTGAACTGAAACCTCCAATTCCAATACTGGAGGTCTTGTTCCAACTAAAATGTCGACTCCTAACTTCTATCTGCTATCAAAGTCCCGTATCGAAAGAGGTAGACCATGGACCCAAATTTATAAATAGTGGGAAAGTTTAATATGTTGAATCGAGCACTGATCTTAAAGAATAATATTATGATTGCATATAAGATTAATAGTATTATTTTTGGTTTTTGAGATTTTTCTTTTTTCATTTCTTGCATCAATGGCACGTTCATGTATAAATACATACAACACAATCAATAAAATCATCTTTAAATATTCTTTTCGATCATCATAATCATTTTTTTGGTTCGTTACGCATTATCTGAGCAGAAAAATATTGTATAATAAAATTTGTCAATGATCATGATTAATTCAATATATTAAATATGTCAAAATTAATCTTAAATCTTGATCAAATAAATAATAAAAAAACTAATTTACATCAAATAGATTTATTTTGCGTAAATAACTCAATTCATGTCATTATCCAAGGAGTGCCAGTTTGGTCATTTCAGTAGAAGTGCCCATGAATCTATCCATTTCTTTTTTAAAATTCCTCTCCTTTTCAACATTCTCCACGAAAGAGAAATCTGTTTCTTTCTCTCTCTGTCATACCACACAAGACAGTAGACACCAACTTTTGAAGGAGCAGGCTTCAGATTTCAAGCATATAATTTGCTGTTTACTCCAAAAATCCACAAACATTATACTAGGTACTGTTTACAAACATTATACTAGGTACTGTTTACCTGGGTTGTCTGAGTTTTTTTTAGCAGTTTTTATAACTTTGTCATGATCACTGTTGTGTGCTTGGTTTTGACTTAATTTTACTTACTGAATTTCATGGATCTTTGTTTTATTTCGATATTTTTTTTTTGTGGGGTATTTGTATGATATTAGTCTGTCACTGATTTATATGTTTCTAAGTTTCTTAATTATATATTCTTATGCTCGTTTGGTTGTTGAGGAAATTTGATGTTGAAGAACAGTGTCGACTACTGATCTTGAACAACTCTCTTCATTAGGAATTTAGAAACTGAAAAATGTCTTCTTGGCTTTCTTTATTTTCCTAGTAATTGAGGTAAAATTGGTGTAATTTGTCTGAAATTACCGTGTCAACTAAAGTTCTTTGGGTAATTTTTTTGGATTGTTTAAGGTACTTTCTGAAATGGAGTCTGAAAATGGGGTTCCAGTTAAAGATGAAAAACGAGATGTCGTTCAGAAAACTAATGGGGAAGAATCAGTTTTGGATGTAAACAATGAAAAAGGGAAAATGGGTAAAAGCGAAGACTTTTCTGTTGGAAATGAAGTGAGTGAAAATGTTAAGAAGGAAAAAGAAATTGATTCATATGGGGCAGAGGTTGAATTGTCTGAAACTGCTACGAAGTGTAAAGCTTCGAATGATGGTGGCCTAAAGAACAATAAATCGGCCAAGAATCAATCCAATTCAGCAGGCTCGAATGTGCTCGTGCGTAAGGCAAAGCCAAGCTCGACTCAAAGTGTTTCATTCCCAGCCAAAGGCCGTCACTCTGATGTTATGAGAAAGAGCATTGATGTGTACCCAGTTAAGCAGGATGCCCATAAAAATTTTGCAAAAGTTGACTCCCAAGTTTCTAATGGTACAGTCACTTCAGGTTCACGTTCCAATCTAGCCACTAAAGGTGTGACAAATGGAGGCAAGGCAGCCAACCGACGAACGACTATAGCATCTATGCCAAGCCTTCGTCAATCTCTGGTGACTGTTCTCTCTTTTTTGGTAGTCATTTCTTTCTTTCTTTTTTTTTTCCTCTCTATACACCAGTTTTGGAATGACATTTTAATGTGTGTTGATTTCAGTCTGTGAAAAATCATTTTGCAAATGGAACCGTAATAAATACTGCATCTGACGTGTAAGTATTATATTCTATCTACTTGCATATTCCAGTATGTTATGACAAGTCGAATTGCTAATTGACAATTTAAATGTTGGAATTACAGATTGGTTGAACCGAATTCAAAATCTGCCAACACTAAATTGCTTGTTAAGGATGAAGATGATGCTCGTTCTACTACATCGTATTTTCACATCTTAGACTCCAGATTTGTGATTTTTTCTTTCTTTGCATTTTCATGCATCTTCTTTTGGATTTTTTATTGAATTTACATGCTTATGACGAGTTTGTACTTCAATCAGAAATGCAATTCGTCCGACGCAGCTTATGGTTAATGCAACAGCATTCTCCTTCAGGTTAGAGGAACGTGCTGAAAAGAGGAAAGAGGTAGACACTGCACATGCACCTTTATGGCATGTTTAGTAGGTAATATTCATTGGTACTAGACAGTACTAATGAAGAAAAAGAAACTAAAATCATACTTATGATACTGTCCAATTCTATCCAATTGTCGCTACTAAACATGCACTTAGTTTCTACTTTCATGCATCTTTGATTACTTGTCCATCTTATAATTAAATATTCACTTTTTGTGACAGTTTTTTTCAAAGATAGAGGAGAAAATACATGCAAAGGAAGTGGAAAAGACTAACTTGCAAGAAAAATCGAAGGTGTTGGATATCTCTGTCACAAATAAGAATATGATATCTGGTTGTTCGTCGATTTAGAAGACTTCTGGACCTAGTTCAGCTTATTCACTCTGTTTTAGTCTTCTGGGATTTGTTGTAGGAAAACCAAGAGGCAGAAATAAAGCAGCTTAGGAAGACCTTGACATTTAAAGCTACTCCCATGCCAAGTTTCTATAAATCACCCCCTCCAAAAGTTGAACTGAAGAAGGTAAAATCCATGTATCTTCTTAAATGCTCTTAATGTATGCTTGGAAACTTCACGGCGCCTAATCTCAGTTATTCTGCTTCAGCATAAACTTATGATTACATGTAGTATCTACATAGTCCTTTATTTTTGTACCGTGTAACTCTTATTGATATAGTGAGATCTTGTATTTATTTGCATTTCTGATGATAGAGGTGGTCATATTTTAGAATAGTGCTATTGATCACTACTAGTGCTAAGCATTAGTCTAGTGGCAACACATGATAGATCAAATTAAATGAATCTCATAACACATTTAATTAGACTTATTATTTAATGCCACCTACATGCCCACATGGACTGGTGATCTAGCACCACTTATGCTAAATATCATCATTCCATATTTTATATTGAACTGAAAAGAAAGCAATTAATTCTCTATTTCCATGGAGCGAAGCCATTATATCTCTAGAAGCTTGTTGAAATAGTATGGTTTTTTGGCAGTGTGGAATTTATAAAAAGTGAACAATATCTTTCTGTAATCCCAACTTCATAGGTTTTTATTTCATTTGCACCAAGTTTGGGTATTAAATAAAGAGTAGTGGAAATCTGTTGATTTCTCGTGTAAGTTATTCCCTCTGGTGATTTGAGTTACAGTCTCAACTTTTATTATATTCAAATTGGGGATTAATTGAACAGTTCATTGGATGTTTACATCATCCGTGTTTATAGTGTTGCTTTTGATATATGCATGACACCATATTAAGTTCAATTATATCATCCAGTAACACAGAGTTGCGTGAACATGTCATATCACTGCATGCGGACACTAATTTCATGTTAATATTCTTGAGTTGCTACACTAGAAATATATCTATTATTCAATATATGATGCTTTTTGCAGTTAAATATTTGACTATGGACTCTTAAAATTTTTCTCTCAATGCTTAGAATGCAAGTACCAAAGATTTGACTGCAATATTTAAGCTTAAAGTTCTGAATTTTATCCAGTTTTCTGTTAACAAAAGTTATTGTGCTGCGTATTAGCCGTCACGATCAAAATGGTTCTACTGTAGTTCAATTTTCTCTGAGAAAATATATTATGTGGACAGAATATTGTTTTTACCTCATCGAATGTTAAGAAGCTTGCACATTATATGATATTTTGTTGTTCTCATTTGTATAGATACCGACTACACGTCCAATATCTCCTAAGCTTGGAAGGAACAAAGGCATTGCCTCCACAGTTAGCAACACCCTCGAAAATGGACGTCTTAGCCCACGAGTCACCAATGGCAACTCACCAAAGTCGACTCCCAAGGCAAATGGTGTCAAGGGTAATGCTGCTGTCAAGAAGTCCGTCAAAAACTCCCAACTCAAGTCACATTCTCGAGAAAAGCCAAGCAAAGTGAAAGCAAAAAATGCAGAATCCGAGGCTCAAGACGAGAAAACTTGTGCACAGAACTTGGAAAAAATCCCGAGTCAACCTGTTTGTCACCCTGAACTTGAAGACGCGATAGAAAAGAGTCCCGAAATGAATTCTTCTAACAATGGATCATCTCTGGCTTCATCAATGCCAGAGACTTTGGCTGCTGAAGTCACCGTTGAAGGTTAGAGGACATAAATCGTCCGTAATTTCTGTTCCTCACAGGAATTCAAATATGAAAGCTCCATTATTGTGAATAATGTGGTTATATGTTCTTCTCCACTTATATATAGGTTGTCTACAGTCTTAAAAAAGTCGTTTGTATTATTTCATAAAACTTCGAGGAGTATTCGTACAAACAATATGGCTTTTGATGTATTGGAGTGGCTGCATATATTGTATTAAAAAATTCCCATCTTCTTTTGCTTTGTAATTTTTGGATAATTCACATTCAAAAATTGTTCTGCTGCTTTTGTTTTTAAGATGGTTTGATATTCTTACTCTCCGAAGTTCATTTCATACGGTATCTTTCTACTGCTTCAGCACGAGAATTTTATTTTTTTTTCCCATTTTCCCGATTTAACTGAAAGTATACTGCTAAGAAGTAAACCTGCTAAGAATTCCATTCCAGTGTTCAGATCCCTACTAAGCGGCATTCGTGAACTATGCAAAGACTATTAAAATAACTTTTTTCGAAAGTTTCAAGCAAGAAAAGCAAAAAGAAGAAAAGAAGAACGAGCTTATCCATAGATTTATTCTCCCTTGTTTACTTTCTTGGTTTTGTAAGCGAAAGGGCGTTCTATAGTGGGTCAGTAACGCGCTAGAGAATAGAAACGAGAAGGATGATTCATTTTGTTCTACGAAAAATGATGTAAGTACAGAAGAAATTTTACCGAATTTGTACAAATTTTTGAATTCCTCTCACATGAGGAGGTGGGGCCCACATGAATTAAATATTGTTAAAAATAATGGGACCCATGTGTTGTGTGTATTCGGTACAAATTCTGTAAAAAAAATTCTGTACCCATAGAGTGATTGTTTGTTCTACACGCCGTTGATATTTATTTGACAATGTAATTAATAATGTATAAATGCTATCTTAAATTGAAGGCCAAAATTAAAGTGATTTAATAAAAAATCAAGTAATTAGGTTTTGGGAATCCAATAAAGTGTGGGTTGGATTATACGTGTAGAGACCGAATCTATTAGAGTTATATTTGATAATGAGTCAAATACATATGAAAACTATATATATGGTTATGGTCTCTAATTCTTATGCAACTTCTCATTCTTTGTGCCTCAGAATAATTAAAAGAATGTATATTGAAAAGAAATATCTAATACCTACAATCATGGTCTCAACCAGTAATCAACTATCAAGAATTAAGAAGAAGACCTAATCAACTATCGAGAATCGAGAATCAAATAGATCATTTTCTTTCTATTTCATTTTCCGATTGAAAAACGCAAAAAGTAACCACAAACCTATATTTAGAATGTGAAATGAAACAAATGTTGGAAAATATCACTTCCACTTAAAAGGGGTTGAAGAGGAAATCAAAGAATGTAATCAAAAACTTTAAAGAACGATAAAAAAAAAAAAAAGCCTCAAACACAAAAATGATATCGTTGTTTTCAAACGATATTTGCCCCCTCTCGGATTGAATTTTGGTGCTTAAATGGTTTTTTGGTAAATGATTTACAGGATTTATCAAGCAGTATAATAGAAAAACACTAAAACACTTAGTGTTTTCTACCAAAACTTCAAAAACACAGGAATTTTGAATTGTATTTTTTCACATTTGGAATGGAATATGATTTCAATGGATTTCTATATTATTTCCAATGTATTTGGTATTGATCACAAGACATCTATTTATAAATCTCCATCAATACCCACGAAAAATCACAACAAATTCAAACAAAAAATGCCAACCTTGTGGGTACTTTTTTGTTCTATGCGACCGCATAGAACAACCCTATGCAGTTGCATAGAAGAATTATCTGCAGGGCTTGAAATCCGTATAGGTCTATATGCGACCGCATTCTAGGCAAACTATGTGATCGCATAGTATATAATTTTGGTTTCCAAATTCATCTCATTCCAAATCCAATTTTATTAATTTTGAACAATAATTTCAACAATCCCTCGTTCGTTCAAAATTCAATAAAATCTCATATTCAAAATATACAATACTCATGCATAAGGATTAAATATCTTTCGATTTGAATCTAACCATAGTGTAATTCAAACAAAGTAAAGTCAAATTAAAGCTAGCATGAAAGCGTTGAACCAATTATTTCATATGACAATAGCGATAAGAACACACACACAAGTATTACATGTTCTCAAGTTTATCAATCTTACTTAGCACTAACATGGCTTTGCACTCATCATTTTCAACAAACTTGTAAGAGAGAAACTTTTAACTCTCTACTGAGGCGACACTATCTCGAAGTTTATCTAGGTGAAGTTTTTTCAGTATTTTTGTTACTTTTAGAGATACTTATACTTAGTACTGAATTTTATTAAGAACTTAAAGTTTAACCCTCACTTAAGTAACAACTATCATTATATAATTAGGATAGAATTATTACGGATATAATGGTGAAATTATCCACGTATCGAATGACTTATTTTTACCCTTTGAACTTGTAAATTACTTGTTAAGTAATGGGAGATAGGGTTGCTATCATTGGTGAATCTTTTGATTTAAGAGTTTCACCCACATTCTACTCGAAATAGATGTTAGTAAATCTCTATTTAGAGGTTTAGTTAAAGAATCTGCTAAATTCTCTATTGACTTGACATAATTTATGAAAATTATTCTACTCTTAATTAATTTCCTTATGTAGTTATGTCTGAGACTCATATGTCTAAACTTTCCATTCCAGATGACTTAGTATCTCATCAAATATAGCTAGCCAACGATCAATTCATTTAATAGATACAAATTGTCATCTATTAAGAAAACCTCTTACGAAGCTACATGCTTCTTTATTTAATGCTTTATCAATTTCCAATTGTGGTTGGAAGATTTCCACCAAACACTACACTAGTCAATCGTATTTACTAGTAGAATTTAGAATCATGAGTATTCAATATTCAATATTAAACTATTACAATACATTTATGAATATTTTTCAAATATTCCAATTTGCATATCCAAACGAATGCCATAATTGGCTTTCAACCCATTTCATCCACTTTAAATTTAGTGTATATCATCCTTATAATT